CTGTTGCCTTCTGGTAACCATAATTTTATTTTCAACTACTGAGTAAATGCCTATTTATATTTCACACATACATGAGATCATGTGGTATTTGTCTTTTTATATGTCTTATTTCACTTACCATAACATCCTTTAGATTTTTCAGTTTTCTAAGAGACCACGTAGCTTTCCTTTATTCATATATCACAGATGTCACATTGCCTTCATACTTGATCATATGATAAACACTTAGGTCAAGATTTTGATTTTACAATTTTGAATGACACTTCCATGAACATGAGAGTTTGGATTGCCCTTGAACTTATGGATGCCAGTTTCTTTTGCTATCTTTCTAGAAGTAAGTCTTCTGTATCCTATGGTAATTTGATTTCAGTTGCTCACAGGACATCCATTTCATTGCCCATGTTTTCAATGTACGTGTTCCAGATGATGAGTGATACTGAGTTGGTTTTATTGCTGTTGTTGTTTTGTTTGTTTGTTAATTTTTTCAGTCAGGATTTCTCTGTATCGTAGGCTGGCCTTCAGCTCATCATCCTTTTGCCTCTACTTCCAACTGCTATGATCAGAGATGTACTAGGATTTATTCACTAACCTATTGGTTATTGGTATGTTTTCCTTTGAAAAACATCTGTTAAGGCACTTCGTCCATTTTTTACCTTCTTGCTATTAAGTTATTTCAATTTTTTATATGTATCTTCTCTTACTTTGTTTTTTCATTACTTTTATCATGCAGAAGCTATTCAGTTTTGTTTATCAGTAATTCTATTTGTCTGTTTTTAATTTCATTGCCTGTACTTCAAATCTCATGTCCAAAAAAAAAAATCCTTGTCCATAATATCTAAATATGCAAAGAATTAAAATACTGGACACCAAGAAAACAAATAACTCAATTAAAAATTTGAGAACTAAACAGAGAGTTCACAAAAGATGAAACATAAAGGGCTGAGAAATAAGGAAATGTTCAACATCCTTAGTCAGCAAGGAAATGCAAATAAAAAATACTTTGAGATTTCATTTTACATCAGTCAAAATGTGCAACATCAGTAAATGACAGTTCATGTGGTGGTTCCTCAGAAAGCTTGAAATAGATCTACCTCAAGATTCAGCAATATCATTGTTGAGAAAATACCCAAAAGATTGTTCATCCCACTACAGAGAACTTGCTCAACCAATTCATTGCTTCTCTATTCATAGTAGCCAGAAACCGGAAATGTAAGTAAATTTGTTGCAACTCTGTTGGTTTGGTCCCAGATTTTGGCACCAAAACGTGAGTTTTCGAACTCTGGAGAGAGTTATCCTGACTACTTGGGAATCAGGCTATGCCTGGAGCTGCGATGAGACAGCATCCCTGAAGGGTGAGGTAGCCCCTTAGAACAGCTGACAGCTAGAGGGCAAGATACCGCAAGCCGCTTAGGACAGCTCTGATGGCTGGGGGAGGGGGTGTTGGGGGGCACGGGTGAGGTATCCCAAAGGGCAAGGTATCCCGGATGCCACAAGCCACTTAGGGCATCTCTGCCCTGGAGGTATCCCAGATATCTCGAGCTGCTTAGGACAGCTCTGCCCTGGAGGGGAAGTTTTTCTCACTGCTCAGGAGAGTCAGGCCTGGAGCTGACAGGACAGCTCTGCAGGGCAGGGTATCCTGACTGTTCGGGAGAGTCAGGCTATACCTGGTGTGATGGGGGATGGTCTCCCCGCAGGATATATCAGTCCTGCTCCTCTCCTGCTTCTCCAGCCTAAGAAGTTGCTTCCTTTGCTTCACTCTGCAAAAAGGGAAATCCCTGCAGAAATGTAGTAATCTTCTCTGGCTCTGGAGAAAAGTGTTACTTTTTCGGCTCTCCTTTGCTCTCTCCACTGAGGGACCTCCCAGCAAGGATCTTCTTTGTTTTTAATTTCAGCTCCTCCTTGCACTGTCCACTCTGGGACATCTCAGCAAGGATCTTCTGTTTGCCAGTGAATGAAGATCTTCACACCCAAAACTCTTTTGAGAAAGAGATTTATTTGGGAAGGAGGAGTCCAGGAGAGTAGCTGCGTCTACCAGGGTGGAGAGAATAGCCCACAACTGACCAGGCAGGGCAGTTTATATAGGATGTCTTGGGGGCAAAGTCAACCAGTGATCGGTTAGTTTTTTTTCTGCCCAGGAATTGGTCAGTTTTGTGGGCTAGGGGCAGAAATTGCCCTGATTTCAGAGCCAAACTGTTTCTTTCACTGGACTTTCTTGGCTTTTTGACACTACTTTAATTGTTAAGAAAATTTCTTAATAATAAAAAAAGAATTTTCCTGTTCATTTTACATACCAATCACAGATCCCCCTCCCCTACCTCCTCCCACCCTCCAGCCTTCCTGCCCCAACCCACCCCCTATTTCCCACCTCCTCCAAGGCAAGGCTTCCCATGGGGAGTCAGCAGAGCCTGATATACTCAGTTGAGGCAGGTCCACCCGCCCCCCCCCCCCCTTGCACCAAGGCTGTGTAAGGTGTCCCATCACAGGCAGTTGGCTCCAAAAAGCCCACTCATGCATCAGGGTGGGTCTTGATCCCATTTTCATGGGGGACCTTATGCAGATCAAACTACACAACTGTCTTGCCTATGCAGAGGGCCTAGTCCAATCCCTGGGAGGCTCCACAGTTTCTGGTCCACAGTTGACGAGTTCCCACCAGTTTGATTGTCTCTGTACATTTCCCCATCATGACCTTGATGCCCCTTGCTCATAGAATCCCTTTTTACTTTCTTGGACTGGACTCCTGGAGCTCAGCCTCGTGCTTGGCTGTGGATCTCTGCACCTGCTTCCATCTGTTACTGGATAAAGGCTCTATGATGCCAAGGTATCCACCAATCGGATTACCAGGGTAGGCTAGTTCAGGCACCCTCTTCACTATTGCTAGTAGTCTAAGGTGAAACCATCCTTGTGGATTCCTGGGAACTTCCCTACCTCCTGGCTTCTCCTTATCCCCATGACGACTCTCTCTCTATCATGGTTTCTCTTCCATTGCTCTCTCACTCCACCCCTGTTCCATACAGCTGGATCTTATGGAGGCATTTTCTTAATTGAGATTCCCTCCTTTCAGATAACTCTAGCTTGTGTCAAGTTAGCATCAAACTAGCCAGCACAGGAAGGATTAGGATGGGTGACCTTGTTGAAGGAGTTGAAGATGGGGGGAGGCGTTGAAGTTGCAAAAGTCTGGTGCCATTGCCAGTGTGTTCTCTGCTTCCCCTTTGTGGTTCAGGGATGTGAGCTCTGAGCTGTTCCTTTTGCCATACCTTCACTCTGTCATCCTGGACTCTAACCCTTTGAAACTGTAAGCCTCATTAAACACTTTCTTCTATAAGTTGCCTTGGTTATGGTGTTTTTTCACAGAAATAGAAAAGTAACTTATATACCACCTTCACTCAACTAGAGGTAGAAATGTGTCTTGTATTCATGTCTCATTGCACTGACAGCTGCAGTTCACATCATCCCATGACCCTCAAATCTGACCTATCAATTCCTATCCTACAGAAGCTCACACATGACTGACTATCTAAATATATCAAAACCATAATTCAGGTCTCATAATATGTGTTGAGTTTGAATGAGAATGGTGTCTATGGGCTCATACATTTGAATGCTCAGTTACCAGGGAGTGGCATGTTTGAGAAGAATTAGAAGGGTTAGGAGGTATGACCTTGTTCAAGGAAGTATGGAGCTGGGGGTGGGCTTTGAGGTTTCAAATCCAGGGCCAGACACAGCATCTCTCTCTCTCTCTCTCTCTCTCTCTCTCTCTCTCTCTCTCTCTCTCTCTCTCTCCCTCCCTCCCTCCCTCCCTCCCTATTACTTTTGGATCAGGATATAGCTATCAGTTACTGCTAGAGAGTCATGCATGCTGCCAATGTTCCTTCCATGCTCCTGCCATGAGGGTAATGGACTAAACCCTCTGAAACTGTAGACAAGCCCCTAATTAAGTGCTTCCTTTTGTAAGAGTTGCCGTGGTCATGGTGTCTCCTCACAGAAATAGAATAGTGACTAAAACATAATGTTACATTAAATGTATTCTCGATCTGCTTATGGGTCAGGATGCAGCTCTTAGCTACTGCATGATGCCACTGTTCCCTCCATGCTCCTACCATGAGGATAACAGACTTACCCTCTGAAACTACAAGTAAGGCTCCAATTAAATGCTTCCTTTTGTAAGAGTTGTCATTCTCATGGTGTTTCTTCACAGCAATAGAACAGTGACTAAGACATAATGTTATATTAAATGCACACTCTCTTTATGTTTTTTTTTTAATTTGAGACATTCTCACTATGCAATCCAGGCTGACCTCAAACTCTCCATCCTCCTGCATCATCATCTCTAGGACAGAGGTTTCTGACAAGGGACCCTAAGCTCCCTTAGCTTGATAGCTGTTGCAGTTTAGAAGACTGAGAAGCAGAGCCTGACTGTAGGGTGATTATTACTGCTGGAAGAGCAGATGAAAGAGGGTGCAGACAGAAGGAGAACTCCAAATGCAATTCAGACTACAACCAATGCCCTCTGAGCCTCCTTCCCTGCACAGCACAGGATATCCTTTTGGATGAAGGCCCTCTTCATGTGTGGCAAAACGTGAAATAACTGACAGCTAGCAACAAGTTCTCCCACTAACACCCGTTCTTTCTTCACTGGAAAAGAAAGAGGAACAAAGCAGCTTTCATTAAATTCCTATTCCCTAACATCCCACCCTCTATCTCGAAGCTCCACCCACCTACACAGCGGCAGCCTCTCTGCCACCCCTTGAACCTAGAGCACTTCACACAGGGGCAGAGGCACCTTGGGATAGCAATGCATTCCTGGAGAGTAGCAGGGAATTCCAGGGTTTCCAGCACCCAGAGAGGAGACTAAAATAGGATGGGAGGCTTCTTTGTCACTAGATTCCTATGCAGTTGGAGGTGGAGGAGGCTCTCCGGGGGGGGGGGGGGCAGAATAGGGCTCCTAGTTGGTGTCTAAGAGATACTGTAATCGAAGATCACGCTGCTTAAGAAAGACAATTCCTTCCTAAGGAAGGAAGAAGGGGGCTGATCTGATTAACTGAACCAGCGACTTTGAAATCCTCCAGGAATATCTGAGAGTTACTATGGCCCTGGGCATATGCAATACCTGTGCCTCCTGCCATTGTCTGGAACTCCCTGCCGGTCCTACAGTCCTCCATCAGCTTAATGGAGGTGTGTGGATTGCTCTCCACACTTTGTTGCCCGCCGGGACCCGGGATTTCACAGTGCAGGGCACCCTTGAGTCCCAAGGAAGCAGCAGGGCAGGGACCATCTATAGCAACCACGATGGGAGGAGGGAGGAGGTGGCCAGCAGGAGGAAGGCAGCAGGGCCTATCCTGACGCAGCAGCAGCGGTGGAGGAGGCCCCTCCAGATATGCTGGGCGTCAGGATCCAGCCCGTCCTCTGCCTCCTGCCTCCTCTGGCCTCGATCCCTAGGAGGGTCCTCGGTTCCAGCCGCCCTCAGGCTCAAGCCAAGGGAGGTGCCCTCTGAGCTAGCTACGGAAGGAGGCGGGGACTGAATCGTCTGAGGAGGAGAGGGAGGAACCGACGCTCCTCGAGCTGGTGGCTGCAGGCGCCCTGGGTTGCCGCCGTCTCCCTGGGCGGAGCTGCACCCGGAGCCCGGACTGTATTGAGAGCGTGTGAATGTCCGCGTGGACTAGGGCCGCGCGGGCCCCGCGCCTCCTACGGCTCGCTCCCGCGTGCTGCTGTGTATGTTCGCTTCTTGTCACTGTGCGCCGAGAGGCAGGAGGACTATGAAGATGATTCACTTTCGGAGCTCCAGCATCAAATCGCTCAACCAGGAGATGAAATGCACCATTCGGCTGCTGGACGACTCGGAGGTTTCCTGCCATATCCAGGTGCGGTGGCACGGGGGAGGATGCAGGGTGTGCAGTATTCGCAGGGTACATGAGTGAGTAAGGGGGCTCTGAGGGTAGCCATGTGCCAGAAGGAAACCCACCTCATCAGAGAAGCCTGGCTGGAATGCGGAATTTGCTTCAGTCCTCAAGATAGGGGCTTTGGCCCTCTGTAGTCATCTGCTTTGCATTATCCTTGCCTCAGCCCCCTACCGTGGCATGTACCCTGTGTTCACTTCGCGTTGCTCCTAGGCTGAGGCGGTAGCCAGATGTCTTGCTTAACGCTGCGTTGGTCCCTTTAGAGCCTATCCCACCAGGACATAGAAGCTATGACGGTCGGGGGGACATTTGCATGCTAACCCCCCACACGGCTTTTTTTTTCTCACCCACCACGTGGAAAAAGACTCCACTGACCAGGGCTCGCCTTTCTGTTTCCCGCGCCCAGGCCGTTTGGGAACCTGCTTCTTGTGCCCTGCTGTCCCTCTGCCAGTAGTCTGTACTTCTGTAGTGGGGCAATGGACTTCCCCAAGTTTCCTCGAAATCTTGGGCTCCAGCCTCAAGAGATGGGGTGCACGTTGTAATTGAAGTGGAACTACCTCAAAAGAAGGTGAAGTCTGTGCTTCAGAGAAAAGAAAAAATTCATGAGGCTAGCAAACAGGTCCTGCAGGAAGCTGGATCTTGGGTAAAAGAGCTTGGAATTTTGGTGACTATTCACTGTAGTCAAGTTGGAGGAGAAAGGCACATTGCTTATTATTTTTATTGACCCTCCCTTCCTTGGGAGATAAGAGTCTTTGGCCTTGCAAATTTTTTGTAACCTGCTGCTTCTGCTGCTGCTGCTGGTAGTGGGGGTGTGTGTGTGTGTGTGTGTGTGTGTGTGTGTGTGTGTGTGTGTGTGTGTGTGTGTGTGTGTGTCGGTGCACTCACACACGCTTGTGTTTCCTTTAGCTGAGGTTGTTCTGGTAAGTAGGTGTGCGCTCCCCCCGTGACCTCATGTGGCATGCACATTCTGCAAAACTTGTATTGGCACTAAGCACTGCTGGCATCAGTTTAAAATCGAATTCTTTATTTCTAGGATACCCTCTTCTGGGTACTACATTTAAGGTTCTAAGACCCATGCCTGTGGTAGGAGAACGGATTAGCACCTCCTAGAGGCCGAAATCCACCTCTAAGTTGTACCTGGATTTCTAAAAAGACATTTTTAATTAAAATTAAAGTTATATCACTTTCCCCCTTCTCTGTCCTCCCTCAACCCCTTCCAAGTCTCCACTCTCCAACTTTTTCCATGCTCCCCCAACCACACTCTCAAACTGATCGCCTCTTTTATTATTACTGTTACATATACACAGTTACATAGATATAACCTGCTGAGTGTGTTTTTGTTGTTTGTCTGTGTATGGTTTCAGGGCTGACCACTTTGTATTGGATAACCAATAAGGGGACTCATCCTGCTCTTCAGCATTAATTAATTGCCTGAAGTTCTTTATATAGAGGTGAGGCTTTGTGAAAACATCCTCCTTCTCAGTTAGTATGCTCATTGATGTTGCTATTGTTCAGGTCTTGCTTATGCCACTTCTCTGAGAAACTGTTTCACAGCAGAAATCCTGGTATTCAGCATCTTGCAATCTTTCGCTACCTCTCACACAATGTTCCATGAGCCATCATGCAGGATCCTTGAGGTAGATGTATCCTCTGAGGCTGGCCTCCCCATGATCCTTGATCTTTGGATTGTGTCCAATTGTGATTTTGTGTGATGATTTCCATTTGCTGTAAAGAGAAGCTTCTTTAATGAAGGACGGTCGATACATTTGTCTGTAGGTATAAGGATAAGTTTTAGAATGTAGTTAGGAGTTATATTGGTCTACCCAAGTGGTAGTAGTAGATTCTCTCCTAATATCCAGGACCTCACCAGATCTGGGAAGCTGGTTACGTTTCTAGTACCATGCATGATTTCTCTCCAGTTGAGTGGAATTTTCATTCACCAAACAGCTGTTGTTACACCTTTATAAATATTTATTCCTGCTGGTCACTGCTGTGGCTCTTGTGAGTCACAGCTCAGAGTAGATTGTTAATTGTGTCTCTCCTACGCTGGTTAGTTTTATGTCAAACTTGAAACAAACTAGATTCATTTAGGAAGAGGGAATGTCAACTGAGAAAATGTCCCATCTGATTTGCCTGTGGAAAAGCCTATTGAGCATTTTCTTGATTGATGATTAATGTCAGAGGACGTAGTTCACCGCGGGGGTGGGGGGGGGGATGCCACCCCTGAGCTGGTGGTCTCCTAGGTGCTATAAAACAGCAAGCTCAGCAAGCCATGAGAAGCAAGCTGTGAGGAGCAAGCCAGTAAGCCCTCCTATTCCTGGACTCTGCTTCAGAAGTTCCTGCCTCCACGTTTTTGGCCTGATTGAGTTCCTGCCCTTCCTTCCCTCCATGATGGACCCTTACCTGGAAGTGTAAACAAAAATAAACCCTTTCATCTCCAAGTTGGAGGTTTTACCACAGCATTAGCAACCTTTCTAACACACTTCTCTTGGAAGTTTTCATAGTGTCATAATATTTCCTGGTACTATGGAAGCTAAACCACAGGAAGGATTTTAGGTCAGATCCAGCTTGAATAAAAATAATAGAGTTCTGTGTCCTAAGCGTGCAGTGTCTTTAGCAATAGGGGCTTACCTTCAACTTCTGAAAGGCAACAGTAGCAACAGCAGTATTCTATATTGTTTTGGGAATCCCTTGGACTACCCTGGCCAGTCATTCAAAGGGAGATTTTTCATACCTGATCCTGAGAGTTAGTCTGTAGTTCTTGTGGAGGCATTGTCAGCGTGTGTGTGTGTGTGTGTGTGTGTGTGTGTGTGTGTGTGTGTGTGTGTGTGTGTGTGCGTGATGTATAATTTAGGTAACTATAAAATAAGAAGGCTTTGTCAAATAACCTTGGTGGTTTTTGTCACCTCTCATTCCTTCTGCCTCTGTACCACCTCCCTCTCCCCTTCCCAGCTGGAGCCTCACCCCATTTTTCTGTTTTGCCTTCATTTTATTGCTGTTCCCCTCTCAAGCCCTCCTGCCCGGTGGTCCCATTATGCTTTCCTGGTTTCTGTAGTTACTCAACGTCGCACACTTACTTCTGAAGATTGGAGCAATGGGATGTTTGTTGTGTTTTTGATTGTGCTCATTTGGGTCATTCCTTTCTTTTAGTTAGTTGCTGTCAATCTCATTTATCTTCTCAAAGAATGAGTTCTTAGAATATTTTTATTTATAATTTTTATTTATTTATATTAACATTTTTCATGAAATATATTTTGATCATATTTTACTGTCCCTCAACTGCTCCCAGTATCTCCCCACCTCCCTCCTCACACAACTTCATGCTGTTTTTCCTCTTTCTTTCTCTGTCCCTAAAAAAATAACACCCCAAAAACAAAAAAAAAAGAAAATCAAAATAAACAAATGAAACACCAGTAACACTAAGAATACCAAAACAAAAGAACAAAAAAAAGAGTTTAAAACAATGGAGTCCATCTTGTGTTTTCCAGCTTCTGCTCTTTCTTGCTTCCTGCTGGTTTGAGTTTGTTTTTTTCTTATTTTTCCACATTCCTGAGTTGCATCATTTGTGTACACTAGTTCTGATTTTTTTAATTCAAGGCACTTCAACTAGAAACTTTCCTCTTAGGATTGCTTTTAATGTGTCCCAGAGGTATTGCTTTGTAATATTTTAATTTTTATTTAGTTCCAGGAGTATTTTAATTTCTTTCTTGGTTTCTTATTAGACCCATTCATCATTCATTGATATGCTGTTTAATCTCCATGAGTTTATGCACCTATTAAAGTTTTGTTTACTGTTGACTTTAAGTTTTATTGCATAGTGGTTGAGTAGGATGCATAGGATTATTTCAGTTTTTCTGTATTTGTTAAAGTTTGCTTTTTGTCCCAGTGTATGTGGTCCATTTTAGAGAAGCTTCTATGTACTGCTGAGTAGAATGCATATTCTACTGCATAGAATAATCTGTATATATCAGTTAGGTTCATTTAGTGTAAGTTGTCATTTAATTCTGAAGTATCTGTTTATTTTCCGACCATTATTATGCTCTGCTCAATATGTGTGTGTGTGTGTGTGTGTGTGTGTGTGTGTGTGTGTGTGTGTGTGTGTGTGTATTCAATGCATTTATTCTTATCCTCTTGGAGTTCAATGAAGTATTTGTTCGTGCTTCTTAAATTCCTTTAATTCTTTGATGCATTTTATGATTGTTCTTACTTAATTCTGTGTCCTGAGGTGATTGTGTCTAGGTAGTTGTTTTTGTGATTTGATCTGGGCTTATGGACTTCATTGATTATCTGTCTGTCATGATAATCTGACCTTCCTTATATTGAATCAATGTAGGAGCTGCATGGTCTGATCTCAGCCAGGTTGGGTTCACTGTTTAACTAGACCAGGCAAGGATGTCTCCCAAACCACAGGTTTGGAACTAAGCCTGTGGGTACAGAGATCGCAGTGGGTAGCCAGAAAGATGGGAGAGAAAAGGAGAATCTCACCAGTCAAAGGTGGCTCTTAGACAGAGCAGTTTCAAAGACCGTTTATCTGGACTTAGGCTTATGGGTGTGAAGACGGCCACAGGCAGGGGGGATGGAGAAGTGATGAGAAAGGCCAAAACCAACTTAGCCAGAAAAGGTGGCTCACAAACAGTTTTTGCAGGAGGCAAATCTGGACCCAGGCCTGTGCTGAGGTGGGGATAGGAGATAGGGGAGAAGTTTTGAGGTTGGCACAGGACTGTAAAAGGAAGACTTCACTTACAGGGCAAAGTTGGCTGGTGAACAAAGAGAGATCATAGGATCCTAGTCTGGAACTAGGCTTCCTGAAATTTTTGTTTAATTATTTATTACAGGGATTTATGACAGGAAGGCAGTTGAAACTTTTGTAAACTGACATTGGGGAGAGTTTCAGTGCAGGGCTATAGTTCCCTACTATCTGCCAAGAAAAGCTGCAGCAGCAGTGGCTGGAAGTGTGTTCAGAT